CCATTTGTGGGTGCAATTCGATCACACCTTCGGGCAGCAATACCTCGACTTCGTGACTTGCTATCTGACAGAAGGAAGTATTTTGCCCACTTATGCCTGAAACTTGGCCACACAGCTGTCGCCGACAAATTCGTCGGCGCACTGTTTAGGTGTAAACCAATCAGCACTCACGGTGCGTGGAGCGTTCCTTAATCTTTTGCTATATTCACTAGCTTTGATACTTGTTTTCTATTCTCTTTTAAGATTCTCGTGATATGTGAGAAGACTATCGTGATATGCCACGGTGGTGGGCGTGGCGAGCAACGTTCGCCAGCAAAACGAGTTGTCTTGCTTGGCTCTTTGAATCTGCATGTAAAAATCAGGGGAGAGATGAGATTTCTATCATCCAGCGTGAAGTCTTGCCCACGCTTGTGCTAACATGAGTTTCGCTGCTGTAATTTGAGAATTTGCCGCATAATGTCAGAAGATACGCCGCGCACGACGGCGTGGCAGATTACCATTGTCTGTCGGTCTCCCGGCAAACCGCCCAAACTATCCTCTATGGAACTATCGAGAAGACTTCGAGATGATAAGGAATAGAAAACAAGTATCAAAGCTAGTGAATATAGCAAAAGATTAAGGAACGCTCCACGCACCGTGAGTGCTGATTGGTTTACACCTAAACAGTGCGCCGACGAATTTGTGGGACAGCTGTGTGGCCAGTTTCAGGCATAAGTGGGCAAAATACTTCCTTCTGTCAGATAGCAAGTCACGAAGTCGAGGTATTGCTGCTCGAAGGTGTGATCGAATTGCACCCACAAATGGTGACTCATCACCAACGCCGTCTACTGCTGACCATCTGAAGGAAAGCCGTCGCTTTGGAGCTATGAAACCGAATTTGAAGTAAATGAAAAACATTAACATACGTGATCTTGGAGATAGCTTGGAGGGCCGCATCACATGTGCCCTCCAGGTCTTGTACCAGAACAGCAAGAGCTTGATTGGTGATTCCATAGAAGGTCTCCATCTCTTGACTTAAGTCAACTCCCTAAAGACATGTGCATTCACTTATAAACACTTTGTAAGCTTCTCTATGAACACAAATTTTCGGCTACAAAATAAGTGGCCTTGCTCATTCTTTAGGATCCCACAGAGAAACTCAAGCATGACCTTAACCGAAACCTGTGCTTGAGGGTAAATTTGGCTCCAGATTTATCCCTGGAGAAAGCATAATTACATAAACACAAGTATCACAATACCTTCTTCTTCTTCTTCAACGTTTGTCCCGCTCTGTATCACAATAGTCTACAAAATGATAATGTGGCGTAAGCGCTATTCGCGCGGGCATCACAGGAGAATTTCAACAGCGCTTCGACACGTATAATCTCGTGAGGCGGGGGGCATAACTGTGTGAGGCGGGGGCATAACTGTAAGGGCTTGTCAGCATACAAAATCGTGTGAACTATATACTCTGAATGCAGGAGAAGCTCGTCGAAGCCTGTAAGCCTTGTCATCACCTGTCAGAGAACTTGTAAACTCCTGTCAAACTTGTCCAAATGACTGATCAAGATTTGGAAGAAAATGAAGAATTGACTCCATGATGTCAGTACCATCTCGCCAAGCTTCAGACGAGTTCACAGAGCACTTCAAAGGAATCAACGAGACTTGCAAGGAATGATGTGCTTGTGCTGGCGGTAGTATTATTTGTGTTCGGGGTATCCAAGTGCTCTCTAGTACAAACTAACAGCCAAATCTGCTCGTAGGGACAAGCTCTATGTAACTATATGAGCTTCGAAGAGCGGTGAGGTCATAGGTTCTTCGAATAAGGATCGAAATCGGGACTTCCCCTATCGCTGAGGTATAGTGTAGTTCGCCGCGGACGGTTGGGCGTGTCAGGCGGGATGAGTTGGCGCGGTGCCAAACCCGTTCTCCACCAGTTGTTAAAGCGAGCAAGTGATATGACTGTATCATATCTACTCGTTTTTTTACCACTATTT